AACGACAGTTGCCTCAAATGCAAGTAACCCACGAAAGACGCATGCTACGCCGTGATCGAGTGAAGTGTGCAGTCACGCCCCGTCCATCTTCACGATACGGAGTGTACTTCGTGCAAATTTCCATAGGCAGAGTATTTCTTTCCTTATGAAAAAAGATTATGATTCTTATTACAGGAAGGCTTCAAATATGCTGCCCAGAATAAATACAAAATCCAACCAACATGTTGGTATGTGCTGAATTATGTGGAAGACGAAGCGAGTGAGGAAGAACGAAATCTCTCAACAACTGTTTCGTGTGAATAAATCCTTGTATGTATTTCTGTGCTACCGTTGACTTGAAGGAAGTGTGTGGCGCGGGGGAGGGGCATGGAGCAGTTATTGTGCAAGTGGTGCCCAAAGCCACAGGAGTATTCCTCAGGAAGTGTGGCGAAACGACCTTCTACCGCTGACGCCTGAAACTGCTGGCCCGCCTTCTGACCAACACATTATCCGACTTTGATTCACTTTCGCATATAAATGTAAGAAAGAAAGGATCAGTGGATGAGTCCTCCTAGCCTTATAATCGAGAAAGGGGCAGAACTGCTTTATTCGAAATCCACCATTTTACTAACCACCTTCAAACTAACAAAACTCAGTTGTGTTTTGAACTGTGATCCTTCTGATCAACATTGTTAATTTTTGAAATCAGAGAGGAACGCCATATTTTGCATTTAAATAGCCAATAAATATTTATCAACCAATGAAGCGTTTTTTTAATTATTGGTTATTCCGCATGCAGTATCTCGACCATCTGAAGAAAGACCACGTTTATACAGCATTCTTTTAGGGAATCAACAGGTCGCTTTCCAAATGGCGTTACGGGTGCAACATTGTAAGAAAGCCATGGAATTTTTTATAAACTTCAGTAAGTTTGTGGCTTTGGCACTCAAGTTTTCGACTTCTATTTTGCTAAAGTTCCAGTATTGTCTGGTTACAGTCTGTTCTGCGGATGGTGGGGCGTGTCAGTGATGTGTAAGGTTTGCCGCGCCCATAGCTCGTTCTCCACCAGTTGCTGAAGCAGGTGGGCGACAACAATTGGTGGAAAGCGACTGACACGGACGTTAGATACAGTCCTTCGCTCGGCTCCCTTTAACAACTGGTGTGGTTTGGGTGGCGCCAAACCCATCCCTCCTGGGACTCCCCATCAACCGCAGCGAAAGAGACTGAGCAACGAACAATCAATATAATACGCTTAGAAGTTCCTAGGGGCATAGTGCTTCGGAGGTGCAGCTTCCGGTTTGAAGCTTTTGATCAAACCCTTCCAGGATGCGCCACGCCTGCTTCCATTCAAAGTCGTAGTAGCAGGTTGAATGCGATTAGGACTAGACAATGACTAGCGGTACTTGAACCCATGTACTAACTAATATTCCATCTTCTTGGTCGATCTGGTGCTAGTTAGACAACGGAATGGAAGGCTTAAGAGCTGCATTCTGCGGATTTTAACCCGCTGAACCGCTCTTGTGGAAAGGTTCGCTATCCATTCACGCATACAACACTCGCTGTCGCATTTCACAGTATTGTATCGCTCCTTCCGGGCTAAAGCCTTCGAGCCCTGCCGGGATCGGCTTGATAAGTCGATGCACGTGGAGGATAAAAAAAGCCCGGCCTGGTATCGAATCATCGCGAGCATTTCTATGGTCCTAATCACGCCCAGGCAAGGTAAGGTGCTACGGATCTGAAGGAAGAATGTGTGACCCATACCGAAAAGGATTGATTAACTCCGTTAGCTTTACTTCTTGAGCTTTAAGTTGCTATCTTTTAGAACTGATAGACTGTTTGACTGATGTTGCTTTGCAAACCAAGAAAAATTAGGTAGCGGCAGTCGAGCCTTGCTGCATTATCAAGAGCTCCCTGGACGAGTGCTTGATTTTGATCACACTGAAACTCCTGCAGATCAACAAGGAAAAGGCATTGCTAAGATCCTTGTTACAGGTATGTTTGAATGTTTAGTCAGGCTTCTCATCCATCGTTGGTAGTTTGGCTTCTTCCCTCTAAAAGCTGATGTCCTCGCGTTATTCATTTGGTACTCGGATACTTCCTTTGGGCAAAATAGTTTGTTCTCAAGCACGGACTATCTTACTATGCCCGTAGCTCAGAAATACGCGAGGAAAGCGCTATCTGCTCGCACGAGGTCACGGCTCCTCCCAGTGGCCACGGCGACGCCCAACTTGCCTTTTCAGTTGCTAGCTGGTGGGTCGGTTGTTCCTCTACTCACTCTTCCATTTTGAGCAGCTGAAGAGTAACGGTGATAGAAGGAAAAAATCGGATCGTTCAAGTAGACTTCGGCCGACACGCCCCACACTTCGTTTTATGCACGTACAAGCGCGGCGGTCTAAATGCGGCGTTCGCCAGGGTTTTTGCGTTTTACTTGAAACATAAACTAACACAGCAGCACGACTGCACCATTTTTGAACCGTATGCGCGGCCTTTGTTGTGGATCTCAAGCGAACCTTGCAATCATTCTATGGTTTACAATTAACTCACTATAGGTACTACTCCAATGAAGTCTTTTCAGGAAGGTCTCAAATATGCAGCTGAGAATAACTACAAAATAAAACCAACATGTCCGTATGTGGCAAAGTATGTGAATGAAAAGGGAACACCCGATGAGAAGAAGCTTGTAGTTCACTAGTTATTTCGTGCCTATGAAATGATTGAATTTTGGATAGATTAGACGTTTCCTGAGCTTTATTGTTCCGAAACCTCCGCAACGAATAAAGACGGGATTTTGCTGTTGTTAAAACTTTAAAAATGAACTTTCAGGTACAATTCTTTTTTTCAGGTCGGCCGATTCTTAAAGCAGTTGAAAAAATTTTACCTAGTCTCACAGCACTATGTGTAGGACTAATAGTATAGAGACCGTAGAGGGGTTCACTCGCAAGGAGTTCTCGAGAGCTGTTAAAGTCTTTGCAAAGAGGTAATGTGCAGGGCCTGCTGAGGGGAGTCTGCACTATCAGTGGAAGAGGGGCTGGACATGGCACGAGGTCAGCCTGCTTTGAACCAAGTGTGAGCGATGGCCAGCTTCCACAGTTGGTGGAAGGCGGGTTGGGGGCGCGCCAAAGTTGCCCCCTCCCCCGGTCTGACACCAGCATCCGCAGCGAACAAGGCTGCATATAGATCTTCTCGTTTCTGACAAATTTTCATACCCCTCTCTGATACGGGCTTTTTATAAAACTGAACAGAAGGAGGTCGGCTACCCTGAGAAATCGGATACTGGAAGGTGCTACCGGAGGCAAAGGGGGGCGGGGAAGCACAGCACTGAAGGCCGTCATCACCATGACGTCGTGCTCTGGGCTGGACACGCACCTTATTTCCATAAATGCTGTATAACTGCTGTGTCACACACATATACGTGATAATGTTGAAATGGTATGTTCAAATAGCCTTGGAAAATTTGATATTTATTGATTAAAAACTTATTATCGACTGACATGGATTTTATGTTACAGTGTCGGACAAGATGACAAAATG